ATTTAAGCAACAAAGACTTACGCTCTTTTGTAAACATTTATATCATTAAGAAAAGGGAAAATTATAAATATGTGAGATAATATAGGTTCTAATTTTATCTTTTTTGGAAGAAGGTCTCTAAGTTTATTGGTCAAAATTTTAAATATAAAAGACTTCCTTGTTAGCAAGAGTTTGAATTTGAATAATCTTTCTTTCCACCCTTTTCCTCATAGCTAGATTAAACTACTTGTCCCATTTTTATAAAAAAGAAAAAAAAAAACTTTATCAATTTTATTATATAAATATTATTAGATGTCCTGATATTTTAGTATCAAGACATTATAATTTTTCACTTTTCATATATTACTCCCTCTAAAAATAGTTTCGTGTATATAAGAACCATATTTTTAACAGCATGCCAATGACAAAGTATTTTTCATTTGAGATATGATCCGTATTATAACTAAAAGTTAGAAAAACAAAAGCCAAGGTTAAAGCCTAGTAAGGCTAAGTAATCCTATTAGTACTTTTATAATCCATCACAATAGACTTATAATACCATATAAAATTAGAAATTTATAATCTTAATTTATTATTAATAGGTGAATATGAATAATATTATAAGTAAAATTTTAAATAAAAAATTAAATATATAATATTATATCAAAAATTATAAATTTATAATATCACATAATATTATAAATATATTATTTTTATTAATTAGCACTCAATTGAACTTTGAATTGAAGTTAGTATGAATGAACTGGATTAAAGCAAGAGCTATTGACTTATGACCAACGACAGTTTGCACGGAACGTGCGAGCGAAAGCAAAAACAAACCGGCGTGAAAAGTGTTGAAAGGGCAATAATTAATTAAAAGGTTAAAATACCAATTTGGTCCTTCAACTTTTACATTTAATCAAATTTATCCCTCAACTTCAAAAAATACCAAAATTATCCCTTAACTCTAATTTTTAATACCAAAAGTTCTTCTATTACTAGAAATATCATATAACTCATTATTTTGCCACAAAATCAACTTTTTTTTTTAAATACTAATAATATATAAAATCAAATAATTATATTTTGTCATCGTAATATTGTTTATATTATAATTAGCAATTTTTGAGATAATTTTTTTTTTTGATCAGCAAATAAATTGATATTATTTTAAGGAGCCCCAAAAAATTAGCTTTATCCTTCTCCATTTGATCAGCAATTTTTGAGATAATGCCACATATTCCTATAAAGATTGAGCGGTCATTAATTTTTTATAATTTTTTATAATTTTTTTTATGAATTATTCAGCTATGATCTAGTACAATAGAGTTCATTTAATGTTGTCATGGACTAGTATGGATTATTTTTACTAGATTAAGGTCTTTAGCATTTTTATTTATTAAGGTTAAGAAGTTCAACTTTATTTATTTTGGAAGTGAATTTTACAGTGGAGAGTTTGTTGGATTAAAAGGAATTATATGGCCCAAAGAAAAGACAATCCTAATATTTTTTTACTCTATTTATTCAAATCTCATGGGTTGGTATTTTATTAAGGGTTAAATTTTTATCTTTTGGAGGCTGGAGATTTGATTTTTGATTTAGATTGACCGATCAAATGGAGAAGGATAAAGCTGATTTTTTGGGATTATATTCGGTAGGATTTTGTTGGATTTGGGCTGCATCATTCCTAGTTCTGGCTCGCAGGTAGTGTGCATTTAAGAGAGAAAATCAAGTTTGTTAAGATCATGATCCAGTGTGGATGGAGAGGTGGTTCAAATATGATTTTTACTGATTGGAGTAGTTATGAAGACCTATAAATTGTAGTTTTGAAGACATTATTCAATTACACACACAAGCCTGACATTCAATAAAAATAATTTATTTTTCTAACTTTTTTGTTTTTCAAGCATATTTTAGTTTAGTCTAATCCAGTAATCTCTTAATTTTAAACTATTTTCCAACATCTTTATCTCGAGTTTTAGTCTAATAGAAGTAGATCAACATCATCAATGGATTCTTGTTCTTAATTGGTTTAGTTTTTGAATAAGATTAATTGCTATAACCTTTTTTATTATTGTGGTTTGCTTCTACTGAATCAATTGTTCAACATTCAATTTGATTTTAATTCAAATATGTTTGTAATTTTAGTTAAGTTAAAGTCTTTTACTTTTCTATTGCATTTTCTAAATTTATGTTAAATTTACATTTTTTGCCTACATTTTCAGTTTTTGTTTAGTTATATTTTCTGCACTTTACCTAGTTAATTTTCAGCACTTTTCCTTAACTTATTTCATTACCAATGCATTAATTTAATTTTTCTTAATATTCATTTACCTTAGCTCAAGTCCTTGACATGCTTTCAAGGCAAGTTTGAGCTCATTATGCAGGAATTAATCTCTTATTTCTACCAATCATCTAATTTAGGTGCACTACATTTTAAACGACATTCTTTCAACAACCTTTTCATAAGGAAAAATCAAGTGGAAGGAGAGGATTACCGACGAGTCCTTTTCTTACTTTTCTTGCAAAAGTAGGTGGCAAACCTTCATTGCAATTTCTA